CAGATTCCTCTCTCTACTGCTGATGGCCATAAGAATTTGTATCCTCCTCTTCAGGCAGTTTGTTCTTAAGCCTGTTTTCTGTGGTTGAGGGAATTTTAAGAAAAATACAGAGTGACATAAAGAAATTTCTAGCAACTATACTAAATATCACTGATTTTCAGCACTTTAATAAAGTGAAAACAGATTTAAAGCAGAACCTGGAGCCGGAAACAGTTTTTTTCTAGACTTTTGGAGATCTCACATCAAGGGCCAAACATATGTCCTGTATGTCTCTGAACACTCCATTTGAAAATAAAGGCACTTGAGCCTAGACCCCAGCATAGATGTAATGCAATTGCAGATTGAATCGTGAATACACCTAAAGGCATCCCAAAATTGTTGCTACAGTTATAGAAGGGAATTTTGCTAAAAGAGAATTAATAAAAATTCAGGTCACCTTTTAGGAATGCGGTTCCCAAAATTGCAAAGGGTAAGTTGGTGTCACCAATTCATACTCTGCATAGCTGCACAGTTATCTTTGTTGTGCTGACTGCGTAAGATTTTAGCGATGTGTCTGGAGACGGCTGGTGTTGAGTGTGTAACTTTGACGCCGATACTGTTCCCTCCTCTTTCAGCTAACTCAGCTATTGGTGCAGATCAAAGAAAATGAGGGGAAGGGCTGATGAGAAACAGTGCATGAGAGATGCCTGCAAAGCTTTAAATGAGTAAAAAGGGATTAAGATTTCAAATCTGCGGCATGATATCTGTGAATATGGGGCTCTGTTTTGCTCTAACCCAAAGTTAAGAGAGCTTCTGTCACAGGGCATTCTGTTGTACTTGCACCTTACATGAACCTGGTCCTTTGAATATTAGTATATTTGAACAAAATTCAACAGGATATTACTAGATGTACGCGGGAATATTAAAGCCAAAAAAAAAAAAAAAAGTGACTTTCGGTAGACTAACAACTATTACTTTTGCATTTTCCTCCATTGCAGAATTAGACAAGCTGCTCTCATGTCACCGTCTGTTTCACTTTCCAATTCACAAGAGTTGAGGTGTGTGTAAGTAAAAACCTAATCTTCCTCCCCCTGGAAAATACAGCTGTACATTAAAACTTAACAAGACAAAAGGGGAAGCGTGAGACTATAAATACAGGGTAAAACTCTTTCACAGTCAAAGATCCTCAGAAAAATAAGGCTTTGGAGGGTGAGCAGCAATATTTTTTTATACCTCACTGAAAATAGCAATGCACTTGCATTACATAGATCATAAAATTGTTTGAAATAGGGGTAGATCAGAAGGGTAGCACTATGATCCTTGAGACATGACACTTTCCAATGCAATGGAAAGAAGCTACATTGTTTTTCTTTTACTTTTTTCTACATGGGTAGAGACAAGCTGCAGATCCATATACCAGGCCTGATAATGAGGCTGAAGGATCTACCTTTAAAAGCTCTACTCTCTCTAGCCCCATAGAGCCAGAATGTTTTGGCTTTATGTTAATGCCATAGATTTTTTTGTAAAAGTTTTATGTCAAAATCTACCCTTCTTTTTAAAATTTAAGTGTTGGCTGCCCAAACAGTTGGAACATTTCATTAAAAATTTGTCTACTTAAACTTTTAGTGCTAAGTATTTTAACAGCATTTTTATTTTTTTGCAGCCTCCTTGTTATGTTTCAGCTAGGTCTGAATAAAACTATCAGCAGCTAGGTAGGAATGTAAAAATCCAAAGCCTGGAACTTGGTGTATATGTAAATAGGTGTTTTGGATGTGTTTGGCTATGTGTCATGTAAATCAGCAGTAACAGTACTGGTTAGTGACTTACCTAAAACCAGAATAAAAGGGAACTGAAAAAAAAAATAGGTTATAAATGATCAGTGGTTCATGGAGTGGTATGCATGTGAAAATGGAGCCCTCCATGGGGTGGTATGAAAGTTTTATTAGCAAAGGTTTGTGATGGTCCACACATTCACAAAGACTGAGTACTGAATCAGTTATGTAGGTCGTTACAAACAGGATGCCACTCAGTACTCCATATTTGCATGCCTTTATTCTTTTTTCTTTTTTTTTTCTTTCTTTCTTTTTTTTTTAACAGCTAAACCAGTAATCTAAATGTTGTAGAGTTCTACATGAAACACTGTATATGAAAATAATATAGCTAGATAAGCCGAGCCTGATGTCTTGGTTATCACGCGTCAGACTTCCTGCTGTTCTGATGTGGCAGCTCTGTCCTTCATCTCCCTGGAGATTCCTCTGAAGGAGGCAGTGCTGCTGACCGCTGCTCCTGGCACTAGTCTGGATCTGAGTAGGAGAAACAGCTCATCTGTGGCTGTTTTCCCTCTTTGTTGCAGTTGCTGGTAGCTGATAAAGGCCCAATGACTGAGTAACCGGGAACAGCAAGGGAGTGTGGGTGTGTTTTCATCCCATTTTTGTAAATACACTCCTTGCCACACTGTACTAAGAGCTCTTTGCCTGCAGAGCAAGAATGGGCCTATATATCCAAGTGTACAGGACCAGAGGGACTCATTAAACTTCTAAAAATGACCTCACACGGCTTTTTTCTACTTCTCTAAAAATGTCACCATTTTATACTAGAGTATATCAGGGCTTTCTAGTGCTTGGTTTGGTTCATGGTGCTGCTTTCTCTCAGTAGCTCAAGTCTGCCTCCAGTTCTACAGTGTGATAGTGTTCTAGAATATTGTTTTTCTTTTGTGAGCAGCATAGTTGTCATTGTTCCACAAATAAACATTGCTCATCCTAGACCAAATGCTGAATTTTTTTGATGTATACCATCAGGTCAATAGCAGGACAAAGATGAAACTGAAACAAGGAATCCTGCTGATAGAGGTGGGTGACACAGGTCTTTAGGCTAAGATCAAGCACTCTGTGGTATAAGCTGGTATCAATAAGGTGAGCATTTTTTAGTGAGGTACTCAGGGCTGCAAATACAAATCCTGAAGAGTGTTAGTATCAGTGTGGACATGAAGTAGCCAAAAGAGCATGGTAATCCCTTACACCTAGATTTAAAGCAGTTTGCTATATTTTTCCCCCTCCAGTCTTGCATATTATCATTTTGTGGTACTTGTTCTTGAAATTTTATCGAACAAATCCTTGGCTATGGCAATAATCCATATTTACCACAGTGTACTGCACTGCGGAGCACTGTTTTCCTAATATTTAGACTAGGGGAGACTTTCTGTGAGCAGCATGGGCTGTAGGATGCAATCTTAAGAAATGAGGACATCCTGGGCCCCTAGTACAGGTGCTCACCAACCTGTTCCTTTCTCTCCGGTGTACATCAACCATGTTCTTATGAAAGCTTGGCGGTTCGTGGCTAGCTTTTCCTGTGAGCGATGCGACAGTACTACGCAGGAGGATCTGTAGGCATATTCAATGTCCCCTGTGCTACTACTATATTAAATAACATGATGTAATATGATAATGGAAACATTCTTTAAAATTGCTTCCCGGAACTGTGTTTTGGGATATACCTCGACATTGGCAACACTCCAGCCTACAGAGAGCTTATTCCTCCTAAGCAGTATTGTAACCAAATGGCTTAGATTGCTTTGAAGGAAGAGAGGATTCCCTCCAGGGATATACGCTTGGCACATCAGTGAGGTTGACCTAGCAGCCAGAGAAACCAATGTTGGAAGGAGGTGCTGGGCAAATCTAAGATTCAACTTTTCCAAACTTCTGATAAATCCATAGTGAATGGGAAAGTGATGCAGTACTCTTTTCCCTCTTCCCTATATCTCATCATTTACTTGTTTGTCCTTCAACTCCCATTCTTTTCGACTCCCTTATTAGAAAATTTTATTGTGATAAACAATTAAAAGACAGAGAGGTTTTGCTATTCTTGGTATTCTTAAATTCAGCCCTCAGCTAGCAAGATTGCTGTTTCCAATTCTGGTGACACCTGTCTCACAAACACAAGTACTTCTCTCCTTTTATTCAGTAACTTCTGAATAATTGGTTCTTTATTCTCCTTTCTTTTAACCGTCTTGAGTTGAGTTTCTTCTGATCATATAAATGTGAAGAGGGAGAATCAGGCTTGTGATTTTTCTTTTGTTTTAAGGGCTAGAGTATGCCTGAAGGGAAGCAAGAGCTTTGAGTGAGAGAGAAGTATTAAATGACAACTCTTACAGACAAGAGGAAAACTTCTTAGTTTGCTTCTGCTCTTGTTTATACCAAACTCATGCTGCTATAATTTCATGAACTTAATGGATTTGCCTCTGAGTTGCAGTGAGATCAGGATTGGCACTTAAATCACTTAAGTCATGCTACATAATTCATTTGCAAGCGCCTTTAATTAGCCGCAGGTAGGCGCAGACTTCCTGAGTTTGCTGCTCCGCCGGGAACGGGCTCCAGCTCCACCCTGCCTGTTCCCCCGGTGCAGCCTCCACTCACCCGTCGCTGTGCGAGCAGATGCCCCGCGAAGCGCGAGCTCAGGCGCTTCCCTCCTTCCCTTCCCGCCCAAGGCTCGCGGCGCCAGGTCCGGGCACGCTGAGGCAGCGGCCGCCTCGCGAGTTGCTCCGCGGGGAAGGGAAGAGGCAGGCGGCGGGAGCGGGGCGTTATGTAACCGGTGCGCGGCTACGGGAGCCGCGTGGCTGGCGAGCAGAGACTCCGTGGGAGCGCGGCGGGCACCGCTTCCCGGCGGAAACGGGCACGGCGGGAGAGCGGCTTGGGAGCAAGGGCAGGGAAGGGGAGCAAGCGGCGGGAGCTGGCGCGTTATTTTCCTGGCAAAGCGACACGCAGTCACCGCACGCACGTGAGCGAGGAGCGCCGTCTGGGAGACGAGGAAGGCTCCGGGCTCCCCCCGCCCTGCTCCTGCTTTCCCGCAGGGAAGAGCCCAACAAGTGCCGGAAAGCGGCTGCCGCGCGCGCGCTGCCCCTTTAAGACCTGCTCGCTCGCAGCCCCAGCGCCAGGGAGTGACCCCTGGGCTTTGACAGCTCCCCTAATTCCCCCGAGCGAACCTTTAGAACTCCGAGGCACAATATTCTGTTACATTGTAGCAAAATGGCGACTGTCATTCACAACCCCCTGAAAGCGTAAGTAGGAATCAAAAATGTACATATTCCGCGTGGTTTAAATATGAAAAAAAGGCGCCTTCCCGACGCTGGCTGCCAGCCCGAGCCAGGTGCCTCCAGCCTCCGCGCCGATCGCTCCTCCCGCCCTCCTTTCTCTCCGCGCCGATCGCTTTATTTTGTGCAACACCTAAACGTGGGGCGCTCCAAATTAACAGGAAAAAAATGTTACTTTTTTTTTTTTCTTTTTTT